TGACTTGACGCTGCTACCTGACCGGACGCAGGGACAGGAGGAGACTCAGTGGTCAGGGTGTAGAGGCTCGACCCGGGCCGACGCGAGAACGTGGCCAGGTGCCGGCCTGTGCGTGCGTCCGTGCAGTGGGTCACCCGCTGACTCGCAGGAGTGAACTGGTGAACCCCGGCATCTTGCAGGTCTGCACCACTCACCAAGTTCGTCAAGAACGAGGGGAGGTACAGGCTAGAAAGGGTGCCCGAGGGGGCAGGCGGACACGGGAGGACAGTGGAAAAGTGAGCGAGGACAGGACCCCCAGAGGGGTCAGCCAGGGAGACTGCAACAGGCCGACCAAGCGGCGTGAGTGTGGTGCAGTCCCGAAAGAAGGAGCGAGAAGCCCCAGAGTCAATTGTAAAGGTGAGGGAGGCCGAAGCCAACGTGGTACCTGAGAGCGCAGCCTCACCCGCACCTGAGGAAGCAGACTCACTAGCACCTAGAGCAGCAGCCGCACCTGTACCTGGAGCAGGAGACTCACTAGCACCCAGAGCAGCAGCAGCCTCACCAGTAGCTAGAGCAGCAGGTCCTATACCCGGGTCAGGCGGTACGCACAGGTGACCGGCACGGTCAGCACTAGTAGGCAATGCATACATGGCAGTGAGAATAGCATCATAGTCAAGAGCAAATATATCTACCCTCTGCCTAAGCAACTCCACCCAGTCGGGGAGCTCAGCCTCGTCGCCAAACACGGTACGTCAGGCGTCGCTCAGACGGGCGAAGCAGCGGGACTGTGTATGACCAGGTGTCCCACAAGGCTGACCAGTCCGAGCACCAGTGAGAATCACGTAAGAGCAGCGACCAGAAATGAGAGACCCTCCACTCTGAGCGTACCACTCACGAAGCTGCTGAGGCGTGAGAGACGCGCGGGGGGGTCGCGGGAGCTGCATCTGGCCGCCACCAGTAGTAGAAGCAGCAGGAGTGGTAGTAGTAGTAGCGCCACCACCCCTACAGCCTCAACCAGCGTACCACTCACGCAACTGCTGGGGCGTGAGGGACTCACGCAGACGACGATGGGGCCGCATCTGGCTCCACCAGTAGAGGCAGAAGCAGGAGTAGCAGCAGTAAGGCAGGTAGCCAGGCAAGCCAAAAAGGGAGGCAGGCAGGCAAGCAGGCGACGCGCAGCGTGCTAGCAGGGCAGGGGCTCACCAGTGGTGGGTAGAGTAGGCTCGGCGACTCAGAGGCTCGGCTGCACGGCGGCTCTGCGGCTCGGGCGACTCGGGCGGCTCGGCGGCAGGGCGGCTCGGCAGCAACTGCAGCTCGGCAGCTCGGCGACCCGGCGGCGCGGCTGTAGGGCGGCTTGGCTGCTGGGAGGCTCGGGTGAAGAGCGGCTCGGCTGCAGGGCGGCTCGGCTGCTGGGAGGCTCGGGTGTAAAGCGGCTCGGCGGCGAGGCGGCTCGGCTGCAGGGCGGCTCGAGACGAAGGAGGAGGAGAAGTAGGGGAGACCACACACCTGCCACCCCTCAGCTGGCCTCTCAGGTCGCCTCGACAGGCGACGGGAAAAGGGGGGGGGGGAGGCGGCTCGGGCGGCTCGGGCGGCTCAGGCGGCTCGGGCAGCTCGGGCAGTTAGCGGCACAGGCGGCTCGGGCGGCTCGGCTCCTCAGCTGCGCAGACGGCTCGGGTGGCTCAGGCTGCACGTCGGCTAACGGGCGGCGTGGGGGGCCAGGACGGCGGCGTGCAGCAGGGACGGGCGGCGCACGGGCGGTGTGAGGCCGGGACGGGCGCGCGCGGGCGGCTAGGGGCCGGGACGGGCGCGCGCGGGTGGCTAGGGGCCGGGACGGGCGGTGCGCGGGCGGCTAGGGGCGTGAACGGGCGGCGCGCGAGCGGCTAGGGGCCGGGACGGGCGGCGCGCGGGAGGCTGAGGGCCGGGACGGGCGGCGCGCGGGCGGCTAGGGTCCTGAACGGGCGGCGCGCGAGCGGCTAGGGGCCGGGAGAGGCGGCGCGCGGGCGGGTAAGGGCCGGGACGGGCGGCGCGCGGGCGGCTAGGGGCCTGAACGGGCGGCGCGCGGGCGGCTAGGGGCCGGGACAGGCGGCGCGCGGGCGGCTAGGGGCCTGCAGGGCAGGCCGAAAGAGTGAGAGCGAGGGCCCGGAGCGCGCTCCGGGCAGAAAAAAAAGTTTAAAAGTGGTGGGCCCTAAGCTCAGTTCCCACGGGGGAACCTGCTCGATACCATGTAGAAAATAGAGCGAGAATGAATGAACTATGAGTGAAGTGAGTACAAATGGCAAAACCCTAATTGGGTTGTACCCCCTATGGTATACCCCACTGTAGCCTACACAACAGCATAAGCTACATTTATGTTTTGACACCCACGATCAATTTTTGATCGCAGCAGCCATGTCATTTCTCCTCTGGTTTTCTCCTTGTAGGCATATTTGGCGGTATTGCTGGACGTGCTATAGACACCAGCGTTAAGGCAGCTTGGTATGGGTTGTGCCGTTCAGTGAGAAGCGCCATAGCTGAGAAAGCATGGGCTTAGAGGAAACTGTCCACGGCCATTAACCAATAACTGCATGTGACCGCAAGAAGCTGTAGTATGGGCTGCAGCTATATGCCGGCCCCCCTGGTTTCTCATCTGGATATTCTCCTCTGAAGTTTGAAGAAAACTGAAGATCCAGTGAAGACCAATAGCAAAATCCAAGCTTATTTTGTAAATACTTTCTAATTTGCATCTCTAGGAATTCTTGTATGTGTTTAATGATTTTAGGCCTTTGATAGTTAGTATGATAAGTGTTCTGAATCAACTTGCAGAGTGCGCAGTAAAACGAATAACGAGAATGGAAATTACTGAATTACTGAATGAAGAAACAATGAAGTAGGGAGGCCTACCGTATTCTCCCGGACATAACACCCTAGGGTATAGCTTAAAATACAGTGAAAAAATGGGGGGGGTCTCCTCATAGGAAAAAAATACATAATACCCGGGTCTTTACATATGGCATATCTTAGTGTTAGTGTTTTTTTAATTAGTCAATGTGGGTGTTTTGCTGGTCGTTTTAGCATCACTGCCTGAGGCGCGAATGTGAGTTTCGGCCTAGAACTTCATCGCCCCCGCGAAAATGGCATGTGGCACCTCTCTTGCCACTTGCATCGGAAGATTCACCTGCATGTGGCGACAGAGAAATAGTGGGAGGGGGCAAATCTCGGCGAAATTTCATTGAGGGAAAAATTCACACGACATTCTTCTGTATTGCAGCTACTCGTTAACGACTATAATAATGAATCCGTAAGAAAAGGGGGGGTGTTATAGAAAATCAGCCAAAAAGGGGGGTATAGTAGAAACAAGGTCTATCATAACACCCACCCCGCACAAGCTACCCGGGGGTGTACAATTATGGGGGGGTGTTTTGTCCGGGAGTATACGGTAAATAGGGGAGAAGCTAGCTAGGCGGGGGGGTTCGGGATGGGATGGCTCGGTGATGGTTGCGATTGGAGCGGAGGCCGACTTGGGGGTGGTTCGGTGCGACGAAATAGGCAAGACAGGTTCGTCGGGTGACCCTCGGGATGGCCTTGCTAACGAGTGCCTCAGTAAGGATTTGTAAATCCTTACACTCTCCCGCCTTCTAAATAAGGCAGCCCTGTACTGAAACAGGCCCCACACTAGCAAGGATTCTGTAGATCCCCTCTTCAGCTGAATCCGACGGCCGAAATGTCTTTGAGAATATATTTGAAAAGGTTGGAATGTAGGCCGTCGATGAAGTCCGATTTTGATCTGACGGTTGACAATGATTTATCCCAAAATGAATTGAAGGCTGGAATGTGGGCCGTAGATCGATCAGGTGCAGATCTGACGGTCGAAGACTGACGCGAGATTGGAGGGAACCTGCTGACGCGAAATTCAATCGCGATCTAGCAGAAACCGTCGATCATGTCGGTGTGATCGCGATCGTCCGTCGTGCTGACACAAACTGACAAAGTTTGAAATGACCGAGAAAAACGCCAAGGAAAGAACAGTGCAAAGCACTTTTTCTCCCCCTCCAAGAAAGCACACCAGAAAATGTTTCACAGCTGCGCGAGATGAAAACCAGCAAAACCGGGTGTTGTCCTAATGAGAAATGCGTAGAGCGTAGAGGGCCTGGTGAAATTGCGTCGGCGTGGAAAATCGGTGACGAAACCAGGTGTGACGTGCCCAAAAAGTCTTCAAGGGCGAGCCCGTTTAAGTAGACCAGAAACCGTGATGAAAAATCGCCGCTGCTCGAACTGTCGAAATTTGTCGTGATTCCACTGAGAACTTCGGTGGTACTTTTCGCAGCTGCAGCTGGCAGCACCTGACGTGGTTGAGAAATAATGCAGTTGTCGTGGGCGGGTTGAAGGCGAATGTCAGAAGCAGATTTGGGATGGATTCTCCGAGAGTTTGTCGTAATCCGCCTAGAGTTCGTGGGCAGGGATGAAAATTTGCAGCTGTCTCTCCCCCCCGTCACTGCTGCTGCTGCCGTCTTCAGTTCGTCGTAAGTCGTTCGTACCCCTGAGAAAATCCATGTAGTCCTCGCGGTGTTTCCCGACGTAAATGTCGCTCGCGTTTAAAGCCCAAGACCTGAATTACAAACTAAAAAAGGCAAACTGTGCACAGTTTGCCTTCCGAGCCCAAAGTTGACCTCCCGAGCCAGGATGGTTACCAGACAGGCGTCGCATCCCATAAGGACTGCGTCGTATATCAGAACGCGTCTACTTGGCGACAGTCCCAACCACCCTTTGCCCAAGGAAGAAGGGAACTGGCTGTGAATAGTTTGCTTGAAAATGGTAATTCATGAAAGGTTGTGCGGCTACTACTCGAGACTCTAAGCTTTTGCCCGTAGCAAATTCCTACCTTCAAACCCGTTGCTCCGCGAGAGTTATTATTGCGACGGCCCAATCGTGAAAGGCTTGAAGCGCATATTACGAGACGTCGCTCCTTTCTGTCTCAAAATGTGAACCTCGTTATCCCCTCACATCATCCTCCCCCTCCACACACCGTCAGCCTCGCTTCCCCCATGTTCCCCGTTGCCATTGCCCTCCCATCGCCCTTACCCCTATCCCCTCCCATCGCTTCCTCGTGGTCGTCGCCGTGCCCCCTGGCATTGCTTCGCGAACCACTCCGCCACCACCCACTTTCGACGTAGTCGTGTCTCCACCACTCTATCCTGACACGTTTTCTCACTCGGAAAGCCCGTGCACACCCCCACGGGTCTCCTCCCTGCGCGCGCTCCTTTCTGGTAAGCCTGCGCGGCATCCTCTCGCCACCCCGCGCGCACTCTTCTCGCCTCCCCGCGCGCGCTTTTCTTGCTTCCCCGCGCGGCCTCCTCTCACCATCCCGCGCGTGCTCCTCTCGCCTCCCCTCGCGTGCTCCTCTCGCCTTCATAGCGCGCGAATCTCTTGCCTCCCCGCGCGGCCTCCTCTCACCTCGTCGCGCATCCTTCTCTCGCCTGCCCCACGTGTGCTTCTCTCGCCTCCCCGCGCGTGCTCCTCTCGCCTCCCCTCGCGTGCTCCTCGACCCCCCCGCGCGCGCGGCTCTTGCCTCCCCGCGCATCCTCCTCTCGCCTCACCTTGCGTGCTCCACTCGCCTCCCCGTGTGTGCTCCTCTCTCCTCATCTTTCGGCGTGACCGCGCCACCGCGTGCGTGCGCCTCTCTCCATGCCTTGCGTAATCTATCGCCTCCCCGCACGTGCTCCTCTCTCCTCACGTTGCTTGCTTCTCTCGCCTTCCCATGCGTGCTCCTCTCTCCTCACCCTACGTGCTCCTCTCGCCTCCCCGCGCGTGCTCCTCTCTCCTCACCTTGCGTGCTCCTCTCGCCTCCCTGCGTGTGCTCCTCACCCTCTCCCCCTATCCATCCTGAAACGTCGTCGTGCCTCATTGCGATGCTTGCGTTCACCACTCCACGTCCACCCACTTTCGACGTATGCGTGTCCCCACCACTCCCCACTATCCTGACAGGGGCCCCGACGTTTCCTCACTCGGGAAGCCCGTGCACACGCCCACGTTTCTCCTCCCTGCGCGCCCTCCTTTCTCGTAAGCCCGCGCGCCATCCTCTCGCCTCCCGCGTGCGCTCTTCTCGCCTCATGCGCGGCATCCTATCGCCGCCCCGCGCGCGCTTCTCTTGCCTCCCCGCGCGTCCTCCATTCACCTTGCGTGCTCCTCTCTCCTCACCTTGCGAAGCTCCTCTCTCCTCACCTTGCGTGCTCCTCTCGCCTCACCTTGCGTGCTCCTCTCTCCTCCCCTTGCGTCCTCCTCTATCCTCACATTGCGTGCTCCTCACTCCTCACCTTGAGTGCTCTTCTCTCCTCACCTTGCGTCCTTCTCTCTCCTCACCTTGCGTCCTCCTCTCTCCTCACTTTGCGTGCTCCTCTCTCCTCACCTTGCGTGCTCCTCGCTTCTCACCTTGCGTCCTCCTCTATCCTCACCTTGCGTGCTCCTCACACCTCACCTTGCGTGCTCTTCTCTCCTCACCTTGCGTCCTCCTCTCTCCTCACCTTGCGACTGCCTCTCTCCTCACCTTGCGTGCTCCTCTCTCCTCACCTTGCGTGCTCCTCTCGCCTCCCCGCGCGTGCCCCTCTCTCCTCACCTTGCGTCCTCCTCTCTCCTCACCTTGCGTGCTCCTCTCTCCTCCCCTTGCGTGCTCCACTCTCCTCACCCTGCGTCCTACTCTCTTCTCACCTTGCGTCCTCCTCTATCCTCACCTTGCGTGCTCCTCACTCCTCACCTTGCGTGCTCTTCTCTCCTCACCTTGCGTGCCCCTCTCTCCTCACCTTGCGTCCTCCTCTCTCCTCACCTTGCGTGCTCCTCTCTCCTCAACATGCGTGCTCCTCTCTCCTCCCCTTGCGTGCTCCTCTCTCCTCAGCTTGCGTGCTCCTCTCTCCTCACCTTGTGTCCTCCTCTCTCCTCCCCGCGTGTGCCCCTCTCTCCTCACCTTGCGTCCTCCTCTCTCCTCACCTTGCGTGCTCCTCTCTCCTCACCATGCGTGTTCCTCTCTCCTCACCTTGCGTGCTCCTCTCTCCTCACCTCCCGTGCTCCACTCTGACAGGTGGGGTGCTCCTCTCTCCTCACCTCCCGGGTTTTGCTCTGACAGGTGGGGTGCTCCTCTCTCCTCCCCTCCCGTGCTCCACTATGACAGAGCAGGGTGCTCCTCTCTCCTCACCTCCCGTGCTCCACTCTGACAGGGCAGGGTGCTCCTCTCTCCTCACCTCCCGTGCTCCACTCTGACAGGGCAAGGTGCTCCTCTCTCCTCACCTCCCGTGCTCCACTCTGACAGGGCAGGGTGCTCCTCTCTCCTCACCTCCCGTGCTCCACTCTGACAGGGCAGGGTGCTCCTCTCTCCTCACCTCCCGTGCTCCACTCTGACAGGGCAGGGTGCTCCTCTCTCCTCACCTCCCGTGCTCCACTCTGACAGGGCAGGGTGCTCCTCTCTCCTCACCTCCCGTGCTCCACTCTGATAGGGCAGGGTGCTCCTCTCTCCTCACCTCCTGTGCTCCACTCTGACAGGGCAGGGTGCTCCTCTCTCCTCACCTCCCGTGCTCCACTCTGACAGGGCAGGGTGCTCCTCTCTCCTCACCTCCCGTGCTCCACTCTGACAGGGCAGGGTGCTCCTCTCTCCTCACCTCCCTTGCTCCACTCTGACAGGTGGGGTGCTCCTCTCTCCTCACCTCCCGTGCTCCACTCTGACAGGTGGGGTGCTCCTCTCTCCTCACCTCCCGTGCTCCACTCTGACAGGTGGGGTGCTCCTCTCTCCTCACCTCCCGTGCTCCACTCTGACAGGTGGGGTGCTCCTCTCTCCACACCTCCCGTGCTCCACTCTGACAGGTGGGGTGCTTCCGAACCTGTTGTTTAGTTCCTGAACTGCCCACCCTCCCCTTCACAGCCAACTCAATTCAATGACCTGCGTAATCCGATAGTTCTCCCCCCCCCCCCCCCAACCCATTCACTCCCTAACCCCTCCCTCTCCCTTCTTGTTTTCTGCCTGATGTTCCCTTTTCTCACCCTCTAAACCAGTCCACCTCATCAGCCATGTCTTCATGGAGACGTACTCCTCGGAGACGGCTGACGCTTGGATTCAGGGTTGGGGAGGAGGGTTCCGAGGATGATGAGGAGGAGAGGGGTCGGCGACGTGGACCGGAGTCGATGTTCACGGCAAGTACGGGCACCCTTTCAGCCCATACTCGTTCGGTTGCTGCGAGCACAACACGTCCCTTTCCCAGGGTTCGAGCCCGAAGAGTTGTGCAGCCAACGGGCTTGCCCCCGCAGGTTCAACATGCGAAAGAACGGTGGTCCATATCTGAGTTTGAGGGGCGATATGCCAAGCAGCATCGTGTGCTTGACGCTTGGGCGCGACATTGGCTCGGATTGTCGGATGAGGAGGGCCCCGGGAGTCAGAGAATTAGTGTGGCGAGCATTCTGAGCGTGTGTTTGGGGAAAAACACGGAAGAGGATTCTCAAGGTCAACCTATGGGGCCAAAGAACCATCGTTTTTGTTGCTACAATCAATACTCTGCCTTGTTAGGTAATCATCCATTTGCACAAGTGACTTTGCCATGGTTAATCCACGTCGTGATCGGCTCGCTTTACCCCGAGCCAACGGGCATGGGTTACAGAAAATGTAGTCAAGGCGATGTGGACTGGTTCAACCTGGAATGGAGCATCCCTGACGAGATTGATTTTGGGATGAGGTCAAACGATGCTAGGTCAATTGTCAATGTGGCCACGCAGGAGTCTGGAATTTACTGATTGTTAGGGAGGGAGGGATGGTTATCGGGTACGATTTATTGTGTACATGTGTTCCTCTTTTTACACAGTCTGCAATAGTTTGACATGTGGATGGATGACCATCCAGCTATGATGGATAGATCAATGAAGAAGCCCTATGTGTGCAGTCAAGTATGTTATTTGATGGGGGAGGACATGTTTCACTTCTCAGCTTCTAGCCATGGGGGAGCGTGTTGCGTCATTTGCCTACACTACTTGTGAAAAACGGCATTCTCACGTGCACGGGATTAGTGCGAGGCAAGCACACGCTTAGAGTTGCACGTGAATACGTGTAGGTGCAGTGATGAATAGGGCTGATGGTGACTTGGCTGATGTCCAACGCTGCTTGCCCTTGCCCTTGCGGATCTGAGCACAGAGAGAGGCGGGAGGGTCGAGACAGGTGGAGAGAGGTGGAGACAGGTACTACGGAAACAAGTTTGCAAAAAGTGGTGCCGAGTGCATGTATTAGGCCAGACAGTACACTTGGGAGTGTGTCTCAGTGTAGTGCATGTGGTGCGGACAGAGTAGCCACGGCGAGCGGAACGTGCACTACGGGCAGCATGAGCAATGCAGAGCAGACAGTGCAATGACTCACCTCCCGTGTGAGGTCTTGGCCACTCTCTTCACAGATATGCAGCATGCTCTCCGTTGGCTGACATGCAGGGGGGGATAGGAAGGTGGGACAGGCAAGGGAGGGGAACAGGACTGAACCAGTATTGGGAGCTGGACAAGGGGAAGGGGATGGGGCGGATGAGGGGGTGGGAGGGGAAAAAGGGGGTGAGGGAATGGGTGAGAGGGGAGACGGGGGTGGGGGAGGGTAACGTTTTGGGTGACCGGGCTGAAGGATTAAGTCTCTTGGGTGTTTCACAACGCCTGCTCGCAGCAACCCCTGGCAAGTGGAACTAGTTGGGGGAGAAGGGCAGAAGTGATGTGTTACCTGATGAAATTGAGGGGAGGGGGGGCAGGAATAACCTGCTCATCTTAGTCCAAAAGTGAAGGGGGACGTGGTACCAGATGAACTGAGCGAGAGCAGTGGTGTTGCCGTAGGCGGATGCTTAGAACACGGCCACTGTGGCCTCAATCTCCAGCTGCTTGATCTGAGGGATGGGATGGGAGGGCGGAGGGATGGGATGTTGGGGCGTAAGGATGGGATGTGATGGATGTATAAGTGAGGGGCAGAAAGGATATTGGAGTGGTTGATTTTTCCAGAGAGTAGAGGACTACGAGGGGTATGGAGGGGGGATGATTGAAGAGGACAATTGTGTGGCCGGAACGTATGGTAGGGTGCGCAAAATGGGGGGAACCCTGGTGGGGAGATGGCCAAGTGATTCTTCTTACAAAGCGACACTTGGAAGTGCGTTCCAGAAAACGGCGGTTGTCCTTGAGCAAAGGGGAAACTCTGGTATGAGGGGAATCTTCTTGCCAGACGATAAGTGAAAGGTGGGCCAGATAAGGCAGGTGTGAGGATGGTAGCACGTACCTGGCTCACAAAGGCGGGCTCATGCACACGGGGCAATGGTTGGCGATCAGGGTGGCTGAGATGCCCGTTGGTGAGTGGTGTTGCTGGCCGAAAGGTGGCTGCGTGCTAGAATGAGGAGGCAAGGAGAGAGGGTTGAAGGAGGAAAGATTGGAATGGAGGAATCAGATATGAGGAACGACAGGTAGGGAAATGAGGAACGACAGGAAGGGAAATGAGGGCGGATGGGAGGAAGGGAGGATGAGAGGAAAGGAGGATGAGAGGAAAGGGGGATGAGAGGAATGGAGGAGGAGAGGAAGGGAGGATGAGAGAAAGGGAGGATGAGGAGAGAGGGGATGAGAGGAAGGGCGGATGAGAGGAAGGGCAGATGAGAGGAAGGGAGGACGAGAGGAAGAGGGGATGAGAGGAAGGGTGGACGAGAGGAAGGGAGAATGAGAGGAGGGGAGGATGAGAGGAAGGGCGGATGAGAGGAAGGGAGGATGGGAGGAAGGGTGGACGAGAGGAAGGTTGGATGAGAGGAAAGGGGGATGAGGGGGTGGGAGGATGAGAAGACGGGTGGATAAGAGGAAGGGTGGATGATAGGGAGGGCGGATGAGGGGGAGGGCGGAAGAAGGGGAGAGCGGACGAGAGGAAGGGAGGACGAGAGGAAGGGCGGATGAGAGGAAAGGAGGATGAGAGGAAAGGAGGATGAGAGGAAGGGGGGATGAGATGGAAGGGAGGAGGAGAGGAAGGGAGGATGAGAGGGAAGGAGGACGAGAGGAAGGGGGGATGAGAGGAATGGAAGAGGAGAGGAAGGGAGGATGAGAGAAAGGGAGAATGAGAAGAAGGGCGGATGAGAGAGAAGGGCGGATGAGAGGAAGGGCGGATGGGAGGAAGGGCGGATGAGAGGAAGGGTGGATGAGAGGAAGGATGGATGAGAGGAAAGGAGGATGAGAGGAAAGGATGATGAGAGGAGGGGGGGATGAGAGGAAGGGAGGACGAGGGGAACAGAGGATGAGATGAAGGGCGGTTGTGGGGGAGGGCGGATGATGGGGAGGGAGGACGAGAAGAAGGGTGGATGAGAGAAAGGAGGATGAGAGGGACAGACGATGAGAAGGAGAGAGGATGAGAGCGTGAAGGGCGGATGAGAGGAAGGGCGGATGAGAGGAAAGGAGGATGAGAGGAAAGGAGGATGAGAGGAAGGGGGGATGAGAGGAATGGAAGGGGAGCGGAAGGGAGCGTGAGAGAAAAGGAGTATGAGAGAAAGGGAGAATGAGAAGGAGAGAGGATGAAAGAGAAGGGCGGATGAGAGGAAGGGCGGATGAGAGGAAGGGTGGATGAGAGGAAAGGAGGATGAGAGGAGGGGGGGATGAGAGGAAGGGAGGACGAGGGGAACAGAGGATGAGATGAAGGGTGGTTGTGGGGAAGGGAGGATGAGATGAAGGGCGGATGAGGGGGGTGGCGGATGAGATGGAGGGAGGATCTGAAGAAGGGTGGATGAGAGAAAGGAGGATGAGAGGGAGAGACGATGAGGAGGAGAGAGGATGAGAGCGTGAAGGGCGGATGAGAGGAAAGGCGGATGAGAGGAAAGGAGGATGGGAGGAAAGGTTGGATGAGAGGAAGGGGGGACGAGTGGAATGGAAGGGGAGAGGAAGGGAGGATGAGAGAAAGGGAGTATGAGAGAATGGGAGAATGAGAAGGAGAGAGGATGAGAGAGAAGGGCGGATGAGAGGAAGGGCGGATGTGGGGATCGGAGGATGACAGGAAAGGAGGATGAGAGGAAAGGAGGATGAGAGGAGGGGAGGACGAGGGGAACAGAGGATGAGATGAAGGGCGGATGTGGGAAAGGGAGGATGAGATGAAGGGCGGATGAGGGGAATGGAGGATGAGATGAAGGGCGGATGAGGGGGAGGGCGGATGAGGGGGAGGGAGGACGCGAAGAAGGGTGGACGAGGGTAAGGAGGATGAGAGGGAGAGACGATGAGAAGGAGAGAGGATGAGAGCGTGAAGGGCGGATGAGAGGAAGGGCGGATGAGAGGAAGGGCGGATGAGAGGAAAGGAGGATAAGAGGAAAGGAGGATGAGAGGAAGGGGGGATGAGAGGAAGGTTGGATGAGAGAAGGGAGGATGAGATGAAGGGCGGTTGAGGGGGAGGACGAATGAGGGGGAGGGAGGACGAGAAGAAGGGTGGATGAGAGGGAGGGCGGACGAGGGGGAGGGCGGATGAGGGGGAGGGCGGATGAGGGCGTGTGGCAAAAGAAGGGTAGGGAGGACGAGTGGAAATGAGGACGATAGGAGGGGCGGAGAGAGGGAGAGAGGATGTGAGAGAAGGGCGGATGAGAGGAAGGGGGGATGAGAGGAAGGGAGGATGAAGGGAATTGTGAGCGACAGGTAGCCAAATGTGGGCGACGGGGAGGGAAACGAGGGCGTCGAGAGGGGAAATGAGGGCGACGGGAAGGGAAATGTGGGCGATGAGAGGGGAAATGAGGGCGACGGGAAGGGAAATGTGGGCGACAAGAGGGGAAATGAGGGCGACGAGAGGGGAAACGAGGGCGACGGGAAGGGAAATGTGGACGACGGGGAGGGAAATGAGTGCGACGGGAAGGGAAATTAGTGCGACGGGAAGGGACACGAGGGCGACGGGGTGTGAAATGAGTGCGACGGTAAGGGAAATTAGTGCGACGGGAAGGGTAATGAGGGCAACAGGAAGGGAAACGAGGGCGACAGCAAGGGAAGTGAGTGCGACGGGAAGGGAAATGGGGCGACGGGAAGGGATTTGTGGGCGACGGGTCCGGTAATGTGGGTTCTTGGGAAGGGAATTGAGGGCGACCGGACTCGGGAAGTGTGGGCGACTCGAAATATGGGATACGAGGGCGACGGGACGCGAAATGGGGGCGACGGGAAGCTGAAATGTGGGCGACGGGAAGCTGAAAATGAGGGCGACAGGGGGCTGAGATGAGCCCGACGGGAGGCTTCTCACCATGCGCTATGTGAAAGGCAGGCGCTCGCAATCGGCGGGGAGGGGACTTTCCCGGGCAGGGCGGGAGGCATGATGCTGAGAGCGCCTCGAGCGCGTGGGAGTCTAAGCTGCACCGACGGATGGCGTAACAAGGCTATGTGGGGCAGATCGATGGATATGTCCGCCCTGTTCCCTATGTGTTGAGGGCGTTGTCGAGGGCGCTTGTTTTAGCCTACACTTTTCGAGTACCGCTGAAAATTGCTAGGTCAGGCCTTGATGTGTTAGGCTAACTCACGTGCGACCTTGCGTTTAGTAACGCCATTGCCCTCCACACCCTAAAAATTGCACTTTTCCGGTACAGTCATTGCAGACATTCGCTCCCAACGGCTCCTCGTATTTATAGAGGCGAAGGTCGTGCCTCGCTGAAGGGGACTTAGGACTTGTTATGTTTGTTTGAGTGCCTGTAATTCCCTATTCAAACTGTGCACACTTTCCCTGGGATGTTGCTTCTCAGGTCTGTCGGACTTGGGAAGATGGGCCCTGCCTGATTTTTCCAACCAATCATCAAGTGCACAGTTTGTGGCGAGCTGTATTCAGACGCAAGCTGGTTTTGGTTTTTCGCGTGTCACTCAACCCATCCGAACCTCCAACTGGCAGCCCGCCGAACCTAGAAATACTCATTTGACTGCCGTTGAGTAATTCAGGTCTTGGGCTTTAACCAAACCCCGACACCATCCACAATGAGAACCTCGAGCTCTCCGCCATGGCTGACTTACGCAAATCCATGTAGTCCTCGCGGTGTTGCCCGACGTAAATGTCGCTCGCGTTTAACCAAACCCCGACACCATCCACAATGAGAACCTCGAGCTCTCCGCCATGGCCGACTTACGCTTACTGGAATCCGGCATTTCGTGAAGCCGCCTTATCAGTTGACAATGTTACTGCTACCAACAGCATCGCCATAACGCGAGCTTTCAAGAGATACCACTTTCGTGTCCACTCAATGGACATAGTACCTCTTGTCACAATGGCTAACCCCAAAGCTGACCTGGCAGTTTCTGATTTCAACGCGGTTATCTTATGCCATAAGGATTCATTAACTACTAAGGAGTGTGCACTGCCTTGGGAGTTTCACGTGTTTCATAACATCTCGTTTTATGATGAGCCTAATCTCGAGGATGGCTCCTGGGTAATACCAAGACAACATCGACAATGGAGCAAGGTTGCCAAGGCTCCTGATCTACTTAAGCAGCCGTTGTTCAGTCTAGTAGCACATCTTTTCCATTTTCATTCGGACACCAACGCTACATTGCTGCTTTATCATCATCACAACATGCCGCCTAAAGGCTCCAAGGCCACCAAGCTGCCAGTTGATGTGACGAATGGTGACAAGGAGAATGCTGATAACGTTGACTTTCCTACATCAGACAAGTCGCAAGCGAAGAATCATGAGGGTGGAAGTGACAATGGCAAGCAGCTTGACATGGGAGCCGGCAGTTCTAGCTTATCTGTTGCAGAAAGTTCTGCTTACCGATGATCTCCTTGATGATGATCCTGATGATGAACTCGAGCTCGATGTGAAGCAGGACGTTTTATCTCGTCTCCGCTTTACGGCCATCCTGCTGGTTCCGTTCATCCTGCAGCAAGAAATGGGTTCTGTCATCACGGCTATCAAGACTCTGCAGAAGAAAGTTTGGTCGAAGGACTTATCGCCTGAAGGCTCCGCTTCAGCGTCAGTTCAGACTTTTCTACCTGCTTTCGTCGCTAAAACGAAGTTCTGTCGTCTTCAAATCTCGCTCCTGCGTGAAGCCGACATCAACACTATACGTCAGAAGGAGGTGGATTACAAGCGCTCGACTGGCAATGGCCCACCTATTAAACTGTTTTGGCAACATACGGAGGACCCGGGTTATCTCAGGGAGAAGTCACTTAATCCTTTGGCTATTGAAGCTATTTTTAAGAACGTACCTGCTAACATTTCTCCTGATCTGCTTAAGGATTTGTTGGCCCGCTACAAGCTGAAGATCCGCCAGCAGCCGCCGTTTCTGGAAGGGAAGCATTTCCACCGCGTCTTGCACCCAGTCACAGGAGCTGACACCGACACGGTTAAAGGCCTGGTTATTCCGCATCCTGGGAACAATCACAAGTGGAGGCAAGTGGTGAATGTCTCGGCAGACAACGGCAGGAAGATTCTGGTCCACTATCCTTTGCTATCTTGCTCTCTCCGTGGAGGACATCATTATGACTCAAATCATGATATGTTCGTTACGTAGCGGCAGAATAACTTAGGGAAGCGGCACCTTACCTTGGGGAGGGTGCATAGGATTAATGGTAACTATGGTGTCTTTCCGCATCCGCAGTCCGCAATCTCGCTTCTTTCTTCCACGTTTTTTGCTAACGATGGGGTCCATTGTCGCAGCTGCATCTTTGTGCACCTCCGCGCTGGTCATGCCTATTCTTCAGGACCCTGCGATTGCGCTGATTTCCCCGGGTTGCAATAGGGAGGAGTGGATATGTACGCAGACGGGTTGTGGGAAGGCAAAGGGGAAGTCTTTTATGACAGCATCCAACCATGTCACATCGGCGAACCATCTCCTTTAGCTGGAGAAGATGGGCACTGTGACGCGTGCCACCATGGAGAAGGCAACCGTTGCCTTGCTCAAGAAAGATTACGGTCTCTAGCTGCTTGGTCAGCGGCAGCAGCGGCAGGTCTCCTGGTAGTCGGTCTTGTTGCAACTTTCAGCCTGTGAATGAATAAAGGCTGCCATGGAGTGATTAGATGAGTAACAAAAATGTACTGTCTTTCGCCGGCCTGAACGTGAATGGGCTCGAGGATGTAACGAAGCAATCATGGGTCACATCGTGGATGAAAGTTGCAGCAGACGTCAACATACTCACAGACACTAGACTTGAGGAGAATCACCCTTACTGGAATAAGCTTAGTGCAGCCTCGGTAGTAGTTGTTACGCCTCAGGAGAGAGCCGGGGGTGTAGCAGTCATCGCCTGGGATCCTAGTATACAGTTTCGGAATACGCTGACTCACCCGTCGGGTAGACTTATTAGGACGGAGGTAGTAGGTAAAGGTCTCTCCATTGTCCTCTTAGCGACTTACTTTCCAGCATCGCCTGCAGCTTGGGTAGGGTTCATTAGAGATGTTGTCGGGGCGGTAGTAGATCAGGTCGATCCAGGTTGTCATCTCCTCATCATTGGGGATCTCAACATGATAGATGACCCCTTCTTAGATAAGACGTCGCGGGCAGGTTTGTCAGAATCCCAACCACTAGACCATTGGGATAAAAGAGCTTGTTTCAGTAGCGGGTCAGTGCACCCATACCCCCCCAAGTGAACGCGCCTGTAACCCTCTCCAGGATCAATCGGGCATCCACAGTGCAAATCTACTGACACCCCCCCACACTGGGAGGCCCAGGACTAAGCACAGCGGCACCGACCTACATGTGCATACACCGGGAATCGAACCCGAGACTGCTCTGATACCATGTCAGGATCCCAACCACCAGACCATTGGGATAAAAGGGCTTGTTTCAGTAGCGGGTCAATGCGCCCATAACCCCCCCAAGTGAACGCGCCTGTAACCCTCTCCAGGATCAATCGGGCATCCACAGTGCAGATCTACTGACAAGGTTCAGCGGCGGGGAACCTTAAGCTGGTGCGCAGGTGCGGAACATTTCAGATCTCGGATGCCTTCCGTATTTTACACCCTACCAAGAGGGAATATACCTTCATGTCGGTGGCGAAGCAGGCCAGTACGCGGATCGACCGGGCTCTGATATCGCGGTCGATACTCCCTGGTCTGGAGTCAGCGTCACACGCCTTGCCAGATGACCCGATTTCAGATCATGGTTTTGCCATAAGGGTGGCTTTCCGTTGCAGCGCCAAAGCGAAGCTTGGGCCGGGAGTCTAGAGGTTCCCTGTTCACCTGCTAAACAGACCGGGAGTAAGGAAGGTGGTGGAAGCAGCAGCAAGACAGTCTGGGGGTGATTATGTTCTGTTGTTGTCTCGGCTAAACGCAGGACTCCGTGCTTACGCCAAAGAAGAGTGCAAGAGGGTTAAGGCGACAATGCGGCACTTATCCGCTGCAGTGGCGAGCCTGAAGCAGGCGGCTTTGGGACCGCCCAGCTGCACACGGACGAGGGAGCTTCTGAGGGCAAAGGAAGGTCAGATGAGGGAATATCAGGCTTCCCGTCGCGACAGGCTTCACTTGATGGCTGGTTATGGTGCGGAGCTCAAGGGGGAGGTGGTCTTGAAACACTTATTGGCAAAAGTAAAGTCTCGAAAACAGCGCACGCGGATTGCAGAGCTAAACGTCAACGGAAAAATGGTTGATGACCGGCAAGGCATTCTGGACGCTGCAGCGAATTTCTTTCATGGGCTCTTTGGTGCGGACAAGCGAATTCACTGTATGAGCTGGTTACTGGACTGGAGGCTGTCGGCGGAAGATGTGGAGGGTCTTGCTCGAGATTGGTCGGAGCAGGAAGTTAAGGGCGCTTTTAAGACGCTGGCGTGCGGGAAGTCGCCGGGCTTGGACGGGATCCCGAAGGAGCTGTTTGAACTGCATTAGGACGTCCTGGGAGAGGGCTTCATGGAACTGGCGCGCTCCTTCGCAACCTCCGCGTCACAACCTGCAAGCACCAAGGAGGCAGTCACCATTTTGCTGCATAAGAAGGGAGACAAAGGCCAGATCAACAATTACCGGCCCATCACGCTTCTTAATTTCACTTACAAGGTCCTAGCGAAGGTGGTGGCCGAAAGGATGAAAAGGGTGTTGCACCGGGTGATCTCGAAGGAGCAATATGGCTTCATCCCGGGCCGGAGGTTGTCCGACGCGGTCAGCCTGATGGCTGACATCATCGATGCGGTGAACAAGGGGAACAAGGACTGGTTCCTGTTGCTTGTCGATTTCCAAAAGGCGTTCGACACTGTTTCCCGGGGTTTCCTCTTCGAGATGTTGGAAAAGATGGGTTTACCCCCAAGATTCGTGGGCTGGGTGAGGGGCCTGCACAAGGAAACGAGAACGAGGCTGTTAATTAACGGCTGGAAGAGCGAAGCTTTGGAGGTGGTTTCAGGGGTGCGG